GTCCTCAGGACATACTTCTGTATTTTTATTGTTTTCCTTTTGGTCTGGAGCTTTTATAAATTGGTGGATGGTAGAGGAGCGGTTTTTGCACATGATGCTATTATTCAGTTGCAATTACAGTCTGTCGCCACTAGATGGGGGTTGATAGCCCTGTGTTCTGAGCCCTCCACCTTCAGGGGTGATGGTGGTGTGCAGGGCCAGATGGGGGAGGAGGGGCACTTTCTCTTGCAAGCCAACCTGGATTCGGATCAGCTCTCGCTTTCTGGTCTCCCGGGGCCCTGGCTTGATGGGGTCCCCCCAAACGAAAGCTTCCCCCATTAGAGGGTTTCCACTGCATGGGCGGTGGGAGTCCTGGACAATCCCATGGATGCGAGGCCCCTCCCCTGCTCCTTCCCTCACCTGCGGCAGTGATGCCAGTCTCTAGGGGAGGGAGCAAAGATCTCTCTTACCCTGTTCCAGCTCCTCCGAGGGCGGCTCCAGCCTCTCCGCCCTCCGTCATTTGGCTGCTGTGGGTCTCTGACGATTTCTGTTATTAGGATTCTTTTTTTTTTTTGGTTGGAAAGCAGTTGCTCTTTTTGGTTGTAATTTGGAGGGGAGAGAGTCCCAGGTGAGCTCATGCCGCCATGTTGCTGACATCACCAGACTGCTCTTGCTTTTGATTCTCCTTTTTGTATCTGGATCACAGACATGTATTTCCTTGGATTTTAAAAAATTGCAGTAATTTTTCAATTCAGCATTTCTAAAGGCTTTCAGTGCGAAGAATTCTATGTTAGCTTAGAGAGAATTGTTTCAAAAATCCAGAAAAGTATACTTTCATGAAGGACAACACCCATAGAGAGAGGTGCACACGTCATAAGTGTACTGGATTTTCACAAAATAGTCATTGGGATAAGCAACACTCACATCAAGGAAAAACATTTCCAGCAAGTGGGAAACACTCTTGAATCCTATTCAGTCATAAACCAACTCCCCTCCCGAAAATAATCATTATCTTGATCTTTAACACCATAGATGAGTTCTGTCAGGTTTTGATAGAATAGAATTATATAGTGGATATCCCTCTATCTCATTCTCTCACCCAACATTATGTCACAGGTTCTTACCCCTGTTGCTGTGTGGCTGTAGTTTATTCACTCTCATGGTTATATGAATAGATCACTTTTCTTGTCCTCCACTGTTCACAGGCATTTGTGTTACGTCTGGATTTTACAAATAGCACTGCTGTAAATAACTTTTTCATGTATTTGGCACACATGTGGATCATGCCTATTGGGTACATAACTAGGAGTAGAAATGCTAGGTCATATGGTGACAGAATGTTTGGCTTTAGTAGGTACCACCAAACTATTTTTCTAAATATTTTAATCAGTTTACTCTCCCACTAGCAATATATGAGACATACAATTAATCCAAATTCTTGCCAACAATTGATTTTGTCTGATTTTTCATTTTAGCCATTCAGGAAGGTGTGGAGTGATATCACATTATGGTTTAACTTGAATTTCCCCTCTGAATAAAACTGTTGAGCAATTTTTCATAAATTTATTAGCCATGTAAATATCCTCAATAGGATGAGGAACTGGTCTAATTGTTAGTGACTGAATGAGGCTCTGGTTGTATGCCAGCATCTTTTAACTGTTATGATCCTTTTACTATAAGGGATCTGTGGTCAAAGACCAGAGGGTGGCCCGTGGTATAATAAAAAAATATTTGGTTTTTGTCCTTGGTTCCTGGTTCAGGGCTTCCCAAACGCTTGGAATCTGCTGAGTGATGAGTATCTTAGGGATGCTAATGAGATGACTCTTGGCTGAGGGATCCTAGATAGCTTCAGGGTGGGGGCTGGATTCTGAAAGACCAAGGCATGATTAGAGGGTTGGAACTTTCAGCCTTACTCCTCAGACCCTAGGGAGAGGGGCTGGAGGTTGAGTTCAATCACCAATGGCCAATGATTTAATCAATCATGCCGACATAATGAAAATTCTATAAAAAATGACAGAATTCAGAAAGCTTATGAATTGGTGAACACATCCACATGCTGGGAGGGTAGCTCACTCCAACTCCACAGTGACAGAGGGTCCTGTACTCGGGACTCTTCCAGACTTTGCCCTATGTATCTCTTCATCTAGCTGCTCACTTGTATCCTTGATAGTAAACTGTAATAGTAAGCATAGCATTTTCCTGAGTTCTATGAGTGTCTAGCAAATTATCAAACTTGAGTGGAACTCAACTTTGTAGCTAAGTCAGACAGATGTGCAGGCAACATGGGGAGCTGATACTTGAGACTTGTGTCTGAAGTGAGGGCAGTCTTCTGGGACTGAGCCCTTAACCTGTGGGGTCTGATGCTAACTCCAGGTGGTTAGGGCCAGAATTGAGTTGAATTGTAGGACATCCACATGGTGTCTGAGAATCAGAGAATTGGTTGGATGGAGGAAAACAATTCCTCACCATCCCACAAAGAAATTCAGAGTAAGAGTAAGCAAGTAAACCTCTACCTTGGATGTCATTTATTAGTCACCTGTTCTTCCACCCAAACCTGAGTGCCTACAAAGTACCAGATGGAGTTCCAACCTCAGATCATTGCTGAAATCTGTCATTCTTTTTCCATCCTTTGCCCCCCCAGCACCTACATTAGAAGAATTGAACACTTAAAGAGTCTTGGTAGGAGGAAGAGCCATCTCTTTTCACAAGAGAGGAAAATCCACTTTCCCAAACATTCACGCAGTTGGCCACAGCTTAGGCTCCTCCAGTCAGGTGACCACATGTCAGACTGTGACTCAGGAGGTGGTGACATGGAGAGGCTGGAATTGTGCAGATTGCATTTGGCAAGAATGGCATGAGTGGCAGTTAAAACATCCAGTTGCCAGGAGCAGTAGTGACAACAGTTCCGCCCCAGGATCCAGTGTCCATCATGACAGGTGTCAGTGGTGTGAGCAATGCCAAGCAGCAAGCTAGTGGTTCCTATGTGGGACCCGACCTAGACTGGATTGTGAATTTTCTTCCTGTGTAGACTCAAGCCGGTTCTGTGGTCTTCCCTAAAATAATATTAGTCCCCAGTATCATATATATATATATATATATACACGTATGTGTGTGTGTGTGTATATACATATGTATATATATATACACACATATATACGTGTATATATACATATAACTTTATGTCTAAATTAGACAAATTTTGGATTCCACTGTTTGCTCCAAGAAGTGAGTGAAAAATCTATCTGGGGGATAATTTCAGAGAGCAAGGATTCAGAGTTTTTCGTTTTGGTGAACTATGAACCACTTCCTAAATCTTCGACTATAGCCCAAGGGAGAGGAAACAACATGTATTTCCTGACATCACATCTCATAGTTGACAATATAGGTCCTCCCTTTTCTTTTTTAGGGAAAAAAAAATTAATGTGGATTTAAGACCTCCTCCCTACCCTGTGCACTCTCTGTCACTGACCTCAGTAGTTCCCAATCTGACTGAGTATTGCTTGTGGCGCTTCTTACAAAATATTCAGGCCTCTCCCCAGACCCCAGATCTCAGCACATTAGACACAAGACCAAGGAATCACTTATTTCACAAGCCCTACAGGTGAGCCTGATGCACAGGCATGTGGGAATCCTGGTCTATGTTCTTGCTACTGAATGTGTGATCTGAAGACCAGGAGCATCAGCATCTTGTTATAAACCCAGAATCTCATGCTCTACTCCAGACTTTCTGAATCTTAACCACATGTCCAGGGGATTCCTGGGTACAGGGAAGTTTGGGACTCCCTGATCTCTGTGCCTTCTAGACGCGGTATCAGAACTGTGTGTTCTGTTCTGGGTGTGTGGTCTGATCAGATCCCTTAGCACTATGGGGGCCAGGATTCAGTTCTTGTTCCTGTATCTTCTCTAGTCATCACACTCTTGGTAACTTCATTAGTTCTCAGGCTTTAAATATCATTTTTATGGTATCACCTTCCAAATTTACTTCTCCAGCCCAGAGAGTTTTCCTAAACTCCAGACCCACCTGTCCAACTGCCAGTCTGCAACCTCACTTGCATTTCTAATAGACATGTCATATTCAACTTCCCTTAAACCAAGTTCCTGTAAATATGTTACTTCCAGAGTCTTCCCCATCTCTGCTGACAGTAACTCCATCTTTCTACTTGCACACTCCAAAATCTTGGGTGTCCTCCTTGACTCCTCTTTCTCATTCCCAGATTAATCCATTAGGAAATGTGGCAAAGTCCATGTTCAGAATGTATCCAGATCCAGATCCAGTCACTTCCCACTCTTTCCACTGCACACAGCAGTGGAAGCCATGGGCTCTTCTAGCCTGGAACCCTGCCCTGGTTCCTGCTGCTTCCCCAGGGCCTCCCTCGCCTTTTGCCTCCCAGTTCTGCTCTCAGCACAGTAGCCACAGTGATCCTTGTAAAGGAGAAGTCATACCATGTCCCTCTCCTGCTCTAAGCTGTCTTGCAACTCCCCATCTCACTCAGAGCAAGGGCAAAACCCTTCTAACATCCTCCAGGCCTACATGGTCTGGCGGTATTGCTCTCCTGCAGCCATACTGACCTCCTCACTCTTCCCAGGACACATAGACACACTGCTGCCCTGGCACATTTGCACTGGAAGCCCCTGCCTGGAAAGAACTTCCCCCAAACATCTTTGTGGATAATTCCTCATGTCCTTCACATCTTTCCTCAAAGTCACCTTCCCAGTGAGGCCCATACTGACCACCCCAGTTAAAAAAGCCATCTTCCTTGTTTCCACCCCCACCCTCTGGATCACCTGCCCCACTGCATTTTTTCCATGGTACTTACCACCTTCTAACATAAACACTCTCCTTATTCACTATGCTTATAGCACAAAGTCTGTCTCTTCCCACTACAACATATGCTCCACAAGGCCAGCAACTTCTGTTTTTACTTCTACTTTTTATCTGTTTCACAGATGCAAAGATAGTATGTGATACATCCGGCACATAACCAATATCAGTTGAATGAATGATCAGTGTAGAGCACCTCCATATTCTAGAGACAGTATCTTTATTAACATAACCTCAGGCACATGCTGTTTCGTGGCAGCAACAGGACAATGTGCACTCACATTGACATCAATGCCACTTGTACTTTTCTCACAAGTGTTGCTCTCCCCTCCCTCTTCTTCCATCCCTCCCTCCCACACCAACCCTCCTGCACACCACAGCACACATTTGTCTCTTCAGAAAACAATAAATGATCTTTGACTTATGCGTCCTATTTCCCAACCAAATATAAATCTAAATTAGACTCTGTTTTATACATCATGAGCTTGGACTGGAGCCAGCACTAGGATGACTGGAGCTCAGGGCCAGGAGAGAGGGCAGGCTGCAGAGCAGGAACATCCCAACAGGATCTTATCTAGGATGAGAAATGATGGGATCCCTTCCTCTCTGCTAATTCCAGAATCTGGTTCCTTTGAGAGGTTGGGACAAGGTGGAAATGACAATCAAGGCCTAGAAGGAGGCAGAGATGGACGAGCCTGAAAATTCATCTCTGGACACCAGAGACGCCTCTTTGCAGGGGCCACTGGCCTTGTGAGGACAATGACAGGCCAAACAACTCTAGCTGCTGTCAGAGACAGGGGACACCCAGAGGAGAATGAGACCACAACTTGTACACAAGAACAAGAACAAGAACAAAAACAAAGAAACAACAAATAAACACCCAAAAGTGGGGCTGAAGGTCCAACCCAAGCCTGAGCCTAGGCTGACCCGGCCCCAGGAAGCCCTCACTGTCCAGGGTCCTGGAGACATGACAAAGACCAGGTGATTTCTGAGTCCCTGAGATCACAGGTGCTGGTGGGACAAAGTTCTACTTAAGGGACAAAGACAAAGGAGCAGAGAGATGACCCAGCTGAGGAGTGACTACATCCCACCCCACGATGCACTGAGCACTGAGTGGACACAGGTCCCATCCATGCTTGGCTCCTCACAGCCTTCTCCTGTCCCCACCTGCAACAGACTCAGCACAGCAAACATGGATTCTGGAAGGTTCTCAGTGCTTCATTCCTTTCCTCTCTCAAATTTTTGGAATCTTCTCCTTTAACTAACCCATTGATCCCTCATGGCAAGAATTTGAAAAAACAAATTGGTATCTAGATTCTTATTTTCAATAAGGAAGTAAGAAGTTGCAGCTCAGGGCAACAGGAAGGTATGACAGGGATGGAACCAGCCCCGCCTCTGCGGGAACAGGAAAGTCAATCAGGAAAGAGAACAGAGGTCAGTGAGGGGAGGGGATTGTGGGAGAGACCAGTCTCCCTACCTCCTCACATTATGCTATTAGGAATGCAGACACATTCAGATGCCCTATACAGAGATTCCTGAAGTCACAGTGTGGGGTGGGGCAGGAACAAATCTTGCATCACTCAGTCTCCCACAAAGCAGCTGTCTCACACTACAGAAGAAAATAATTTTGAACAAATTTAAGCCAGTTTCTGTAATTGGTGACATTCTAAATGGCCCACCACATGCTCAAAATGTCCCAACCAAAGAATCCCCATAACTCAGTCTGTTCCCTCTGCCCCAACCCCTCCCATTTTAGGCCCTCCAGGGTCTCACCTTTAGGAGGAATGAGAGACACATCAGAGTCCTGGGCACTGTCACCACCTGGAGAAGAACAAAACAGAACTCGGTCAGAGCCCACAGGAGATGAGACTAAGGGAGGAATTCTGGGGTGGGTGAGCTCCCTCATGGGCTCCTGTCTACACTATCTCAGGGATCACCCCCTGTCCATACTTACTTGTAGACTGAGGGTAGCTCCCTCTTTTTCCACCTGTGGGAAGAAAACATCCTGTGAGAAGCTAGTAAGCACGCAGGGCCATGAGGTCCTAAAGGAACCACCTAGTCCTGGACACCAGAGAAGTTTCCAGGACTGTGATAACAGACCTAAGGGAGGATCAGGAAACCTAGCAATGGTACATGTGTGGGCACAGGACCAACTGCCCTCCTGGAGGTCTGTCCTCATCAACAACCTTCCCCTTTGACCTGTGACTGCTGGGAGTCAGGTCCCCATCACCAGACTCATCAAGATGATAAATCTGTCCTTCATTTCCACATGTGCTTTACTAAACAGTGTCAGCCCCAGACTAGGAAAGCACATGTGGCTATGGATGGGACTTCCCATTAATGATGCAGGACAAACTTCTACCTGGGCTTGAAACCCCAAGTATGACAAGAAAACTCAGATCCCACCCCTTCCCTACCTGAGCGCTTCTTCCTCCACATCACAGCTCCAGCCACCACAGCTCCAGTGACCACAGCTCCAAGGAGAACCAGGCCAACAATGATGCCCACAATGGTGATGGTGGACTGAAGTGGCGGCTCTGGGGAGGGAAGGGAAGGTGAGGGCCCTGACCCCAAGGCCTCAGCCCTGACCCTGCTGAAGGTCTCCAGAAGGGCTCCTGATTTCCCTGAGAAGAGGCTCTGAGCCCACGGCTCCCTCCTTACCCCATCTCAGGATGACGGGCTCGGGCAGCCCCTCATGCTGCACACGGCACGTGTATCTCTGCTCCTCTCCAGAAGGCACCACCACAGCAGCCCACTTCTGGAAGGTCCTGTCCCCTGCAGGCCTGGTCTCCACAAGTTCCATGTCCTGGGTCAGGTCCTCCCCATCACGCTGCCAGGTCAGGGTGATCTCCGCAGGGTAGAAGCCCAGGGCCCAGCACCTCAGGGTGACCTCATGGTCAGAGATGGGGTGGTGGGTCACCTGTGTTTTTGGGGGGTCTGAGGAGAAGGGTCATAAAATTCAGGAAGTTTGCATCTGTCTTAGTCCACTGAAGTAGGGCTTATGTGACCATCTTGAAAATGGACAGGACAATTAGGGAAGGGAGCACAAAACCCAGACACCAGTCTGGACACAGGCTTCTGGGATAATCTCTTATTGTTTGGAAAGTTCTAGAATCAGAGTGAGATGGCCCAGTGTAGGAGGCAGGTCTTTGATAGAGGCTGAGTGACTCAGTAAAGTTGGAGTCAGACCTCAAACACACTGGGTGTGGGGCCGAGAACAAGGCCTGAAAGATTCCCAGAGCTGCTGCCAGAGTCAAAGGGAAGCACTTGTCGGTTATGTCAGGGAGGGTTTCCCAGTCCATCTCTGGAGACTGGATCCCTTAGTGTCCTTGAGAGGAAGGCGGGCCCTATGGAGGAGTCACCCTCTGGTACTGGAACTGAAAATCCAGTTGGACTTAGTCTCCTGACCCACAGGACAGGGGTGTTCTGGTGTCATGCTATTTTCTTCCACTCCTTGTAAAAGGCCCTCAGTGCAAGGGGAGATTAAGGAGGCCCCGCGGCCCCTCGTACCTATGCGCTGCAGCATCTCCTTCCCGTTCTCCAGGTGTCTGAGGAGCCACTTCACACACTTGTCTTTCACGTAGGCCTTGTGGCGCTCCACAACACCGCTTGCCTCCCACTTGTGCAGGGTGATCTGAGCTGCCATGTCTGCCACGGTCCAGGAGTGCAGGTCCTCGTTCAGGGTGAGGTAGTCATCACCGTCATAGGCGAACTGACTGTATCCACGGAGGAGGTGCCCGTCTGAGTCCACGTAGCAACCATGCATCCACTGGAAGGTGTGAGACCCTACCACATTCCCATGGTCAGTCCCACCCATTTAGCCCCACCCCAGTGGCCAGCCTTTCCCACGTAGCCCTGTTGTGCTGGCAGCCCCACCCCCACCCCAATTAAACCTAAACTGAAAAAGAAACCTAGTGAAAGTCCCTGCAGGCTCTTCCCTGGTGGAGAGGCCAGTGGGTCCCGCAGTGTTGGGGTTATGGAATTGAAAAAAGATGGAGTCTGTGATGTTAGGGCACTAAAATGGAGCGAGGCAGATATGAAGAGAGGAAGAAATTCCTCCTTCAGGATGAACTCTTGAACTCATTAGATAACTGAAATGCTTCTGCAAGTCTTCTCAAGGACAGTAAGATCTTGGAGATGGAGACCTCATTCCCAAGGATGATAAGGTTATCAGGACAGAGACCTCCTTCTTATCAGAGTCATCATCCACATTCCTAAATTTAATGCCCTGTTTCAGTGGACCTTCACTTCCATGATTACCTTGTGCCTGGAATTTGTTAAAGGATATTCCTTCCCTTTTTTTTCTTTGCCTTTGTTAGCTCCGACTACAAGGCCTTCCTTCGCCCTTTCAGAGGCGGAAAACACAATTCAAAGGCTACTTGAATTTATGTTTTCCCCAGGCTACAGTCCTAACAGACCCTGAATAAACATCTTTTTGTTTACCTTATAATTGGTTGACATTTCTTGGTGTAGATAGTAGGATCCAGAGCGACCATTCTGAATCCCCAGTGCAGCCAAGGATGTGTGGAAGATACCTCCAAAGAGACCACCAATTTAGATGTCCCCACCAGCAAGCCTGGAAATCTAGTGGTGAGTCCTGGATCTGAATTTCCCAATTTTTAAGGTTGATATTTAGGTCAAACTGATCTTTACTTGGGTATTTCTGGTTATAGTCAACTCTTCCATTTCCGAAGGAAGATTCTGTATCTGCTTAAGGCAGGAGGTTCAGATTCAAGGATTTCTTTTTTGTCCTCATGCCTTTGGAGAGGATTCTGTCCTCATCTTAACTAGGCAGAGGATTCGTGTTTAAGGACTTTTCTTGGTGAATGTTACTGTAGCTTTAGTAGTTTTTTGTCTTATTAAAGTGGCCACATCCTCTTACAATTCAAAGTTTGGCCGTTCTTGATCATCAGTGCAGACCCCTTAACTTCTCCTGTCACCCAAATGAGGGTCCTTTGAGTCTGAAGATAAGAGACATTGCTCCTTATGACCCCTTCTGGGGTGTTTCTAGGCGACTAGAAACCTAGCAGAAGTGTGAGAACTCTGTCTGTGACATGCAGTGGTTTCACAGGGCCTCCCAATCTAAGAATTTACCTGTTCCTGGGTCACAAGAAACTTCATAAGCTCATCTGGGAGCTACAAATAAGGGACTGGTCGTCCTAGTACCTTGAGCAACCTGACACTGCCTGGTGTCCAGGATATTCTGAGATGTAAGAGAGAGACCAATGGCCCATGGGGACATTTTGGGAAGCGGTCCTTGCAAGCAGCCCATACCCAACCGAAAACATATACCTTCCTGCCTTGATCAACCAAGAACAACTCTCTCTAAATTATAGGGAGCAACTGTTCCAGAAAAACCATCAATAATCACCCTCTCTTGGGAACTCCAGCTGGTTTTATTTTTAAGAACTATGGTCTGTCCTCTTGTAAATTTTTGTCCCAGTGGACTGATAATTCTAAAGATGATTTAAAATTACGTAGCCACTTTGGGGCACCTTTGAGCTTCCAAAACTTGTCTTTTTGTGCACTAGATTTGAGAACTGTAGAACAGACAGATTAAATGCAATCTTTAGTCTATAAAGAATCAAGTGTGCCACCTTCTGGCATACCTGCTTAAAAGCCATGGTCTTGAAAGCTGTAAATATTTACAAAGAACAGCAAAATCTTACTAAGCTTCCTTTGTGTTCTGAGAGCTGGCATGGTAAGCATCAGACTGGGGTCCCCAAAATATGGCTGGAAAGAAATGCAGGTTGTATCCTATTTGTGGTCAGACACGAAATGTGGGTTGAACTCCATTTGCAGCTAGGGTCCTACCAACTGCCACCAGCCTCAGGGTAATTACATTGGCTATTAGAAGGAATGTTCCAATTACATAAGATCATTTAAGAAGTATACTTAAAAGCAAAGGCTTCAAAATTCCAAAATAGCCTTATTGAAAGTTGTGTTACAAAAAGCTAATGAAAAATTAAATTATAAGAGGTCCCTAAAAGAAAAGACTATATAAAAGTCTATTAAGTTATGGCTTTACAAATGCCCCCATAATCTACCTTCAAGACAGGGCCCAGTATGAGCCTCTCCCAGAGTTAATGAGATTGACAGATTTTCGGGGAAACTGCTATGTTATTCCATTAAACAGTCAAGGGGAGACAAAATTAAAAATAAATGGAGTTATTTAATGCTGCCAGAAATATTTACTGTTTGCCTTGGCTGAAACTTGACAAAATATTTGAAAAGATTTAGTAATTTATGATCAAAAATTTGGCCAAATTAGGAGGTGATATTCAGAACCTGACAAACATTTTTTAACATAAGCCTTCTTCTCTAAGTTAAAATAAGAGGGAAAGAAGCAAATTAGGATGACGTAGTTGGAGAGGTAGATAACCTATGATGTTTAAGTTACAACTCAATTTCTGAGGATTTGAGAGCTCCTGCACACTTACCTTACAAACCTTTGCAAAAGCGGAAATTCAGCTCTGGAGGCAGTCCACATTCCACCCATTCCCTTTTGCCAATCCCAAAAACCTCCCCTATTTAACTCAAAAAGCCTGTAACTTTTCCAGGAACTGTCATCTAGATCACCACCAATTCCTTAGCAGATAACCTTAGTTTATTCTATCTGCCACAAACACAGCTTCACAAATCACTGAGTTTTACACTGTATCCTATTCATTGCAAAAATTTAATGAAAATTATTTAAAGTCTCTACTTGCATCTATCTATATATCTATGTATTTCTATATAGATGCATTATATATAGGTGAGATTTTTCTACCTTGTAATAGCATAACTTCTAAAAGAGCTCTATTTAATTGGCTTAAAGTAAGTGTTTCTATGAATTATTTCTAAACGTAATAGGAACTAACCCAAATGTTGTTCAAGTTAACGTGATATAAAATAATCTTTGATAACTGAAAGCTTATTTAAGTTTGTTAGTTTGATTGAAATAGCATGTTTTCAGAGTTATCAGCACTGGATATGATGCAGACATTCAGCCTTCATTCTATCTCGGTTAATAGTCAAATAAGCTCATGTTATCTCTGTTACAAAATGTGCCAGCAAAAATAACTTAGACTGATAGATGATTTTGTCTAATGTCTCGTGAAGTTTTGTAGGCAACTAAACATAATTATTGAAAAAAGTAAACTAAATAGATATAAATGAGATAGGAGTTTATAGATAAAACTTTTAGAAATAATTACATTTTATGGCATATGTATCTAAAATAGCTTCCAAAATCTCTTTGGTAACATGAAATTTTGAAGTTGTGCTGGTTAAATTAAATGACAGAAAACTCATTGACTAGATTATTTTCAAATAGGATAAAATACTGAAACATTGCTTGCTAAACAAGTCTGTGTTTACCTACTTTTGTCTTCTTATTACAGAGAAACTAAAAGATGTTTGGCTCTATTAGTAAACATGTCTTGTGCTTTATTAAAAGTTTTTGCTTTATGAAGCAGTATGTTCGTAGAAATTATGAAAAGTATTTATAAATTTGCCAAGCCATGGAATGCCAATGTAAAAGACAGTTCATAATTGCTTACTTCTTAGTTTGCACTAAAAATTAAGTTTTTTAAGTGTTAAATTTCTAATTAATATGTTTGATTACAGTCACTAAAATTAATAAGGGAAATACCTCTGTATACAAGGAAAGTAAGATATATGTTTTCAGTAAAGAAGGTATAAGGAATAGAGATATTTTTGTTTGTTTTGTTAAGAAAGTAAATTGTCCTAAAGTACTAGGAAGGAGGGAAGGCATGGGACAAATTCTGAATGTAAAAGAGAAAGTTATAGCAGATTTGTGAAAGAAGAACCCTGAGAAAAGAGTTCTGTGCATGGTCAAGGTGGCTAAGATTGAAATGAATTTAATTAAGTAAATGAATTTTAATATCAAAACTAAGCTGGTGCAAAATTAGAATTGTGTTCTCTCTCTCTCTTAAAAGCATAGTTTCCTTAGACTTTGTTTGCTCTCGATAGATTCTGAAAGGTTTTTCTTCACCTCTGAGTAAGTCTACCTAAAAGGCAAGGATTCTATGGTTTGTCAAAATAATTTCCTATGTTCAAAAAGCTTAGGTCTCTATTAAGACAGCTAAGGTTTTGTTGTTGTTGTTTTTAACTGTTTAACTCTCTAGGAGTGCCTTTAACATCTTCTGTTGTCACTTGGGTTAAATGGATAACTAAGCATTGTTGCACAGTGACCCATGATCCTATTTGACCAAGTGTTTTAAAACCTTTTGATATTATTGACAAACTTCCCCAAAATTAAAATCCTAAATAAAGTCTTTCTTCTGATCTGAAAGAAACTGAGAATTTCCAGCAGGTCACTGGGACTTCTCCAAGAATTTGTTCTCTCTTCCTATAAAGAGGGAGATACTAAGCTAATTAGGTTTATTTGGTACATTAAATTGCATGGGAAGCATTTTCAAATAAACGATGATAAACCTTTTAGGTTATATTGTGTGGGTGAACGCTATTAATCTAAGTGTTTTAAAAATTATATAAAATTCTGAAAAATCTGATATGTCCTGGTATAATTCTAGTCATTATCTTAAAATGTGTGTTATAGATTTCCTTGTCAATTGCATTATAATCATATCTTTAACCATGTCTTTTGCCATTTACAGACAGTTAATTGTTTTACTCTGATGCTTTCTTTCCTGCTTTTTCTCCCCAAATCCCCCCAGATATAGTTGTATATTTTAGTTGTGGGTCCTTCTAGTTATGGCATGTGGGATGCCACCTCAGTATGGCCTAATGAGCGGTGCCATGTCCGCGCCCAGGATCCGAACCGGTGAAACTCTGGGCTGCCGAAGTGGAGCACGTGAACTTAACCACTTAGCCATGGGGCCGGCCCTATACTCTGATGCTTTTGTAAATATGTTTCATCTTCAGAGAGCTTCATGGAAAGGACTCTGATACTTAACTCCAGAATATAGGTTTCTGATGAACTTTTGGATCATAAAACTGAACTGGATTTAAAGAAATCTTTTGTCTTCAGCTATCAACAATTGGTAAGCTATACCTTTGTAAACAAAGATGAAACATTTACTTTTTTCCCTTCCTGATCCCTCTAGAATTCAGAATCTCTCAGTTAGTATTCTTATTTTCACTTACATAAATAATCAGGCCAAGTTTTTAATCTAAACAAATCAGTTTTACTGTGAGTATCTTTGGTAAAAATTGAGTGTAACTGTGGATGGAAAAGTCATGTTGCACCTTTGTAGATGCTGGATTCTAGTCCTGTTAATTGTCTTTGAGGTTTTGTTATACACCTACAGAGTGGACTCCTCTCTAAGGTATTGCCTTTTGGTCTCGCTCACTGCTTGCAGTGTTCTCTCTGGAAAACGTGAACTAATCCCACATGGGATGGTCACCAGCAGATCAGTGTCTATTGGTCCACAACCTTCTGCTGATCCCTTGTTGTCTTACGGTAGTATGACCACCTACTGTAAGTCTCTAATGTTTTATATTCAAGGCTATCATCAACAGGATTAAGAAGCTTTCCTGGATTTTAATTTAAAGGATCCTGTTGGTCACAGTCTAGAGCCTGGTAACTGGGTGTTCTGGAAGCAACATCAGAAGAAGACAACTCTTGAGCCTCATTGGAAAGGACCTTACCAAGTGCTCCTAACCATTTACACTGCTGCAGATCTGGAAGGCGTTTAAGCTTGGAGATACATCTCACAGCTAAAAAAATCTCCACCTGACATCTGGTCCTGTACAAACCCTGGAGACCTCCAAATGAAACTGTCTAGGAAGAGAAGCTGCTGACATCTGAGGCAGACAGCTGTCCCAAGACCCAGGGTCAGGCCTGTATATGTACTTCTACAACTATTTTAATATTACCATTGTCATACTGTTCAAATGTCATTTAAGATTTTTCTGATTCTGTGTTTGTTTTTCCAAAACCATGTCTGAATGGCCGTCAGATAGCAATATCTTTTTACAGTGGGCTCATTCCTTCATTATATACAAAAATCAGCCTAACTGCTGGACGTATGGGACAAACCTTTGGCCCTGGCTTCCACCTGGGTGGTTAGGTCGTTGCACTCTAGGTTTTCCCTTGGATGCAAGAAAGGATTTGCCCTAAATTAGCAAATGTCACTAATCTCCCTTTTCCTCAAAACCAGATGGACTTGTACAGTTTTTAGTTAGTTGGCTTCCTACAGGCATCAACACATTTCTGTGGTCCAGATTACAACTCCTAATTCTATTACTACTTGAAATCTTTCTGTTGATCATGATATGTAAACTAACCACTGTTTTCTTTACTCACTGTTGTAAAACTAGCATTCAGGCCAACGTGATGGTCTGATGAAGACCAGAGCCAATATGTGCACTTGATTTCCCAAGTATTTACACATCCTCATGAATTTGGCCTTCCGTCATCTTGTCTGCCTTGTTGCTCAAATGTGGCTCTGCTTAACAATAAATAAGAGAATAGCTTTATAACCTCATTCCTATTTCCCCTCACTGAGGGACTAAAGGGATCCAGGTTAGGTGCCATCCACCCTGGTCACAAAGGACTAATAAAGATTGATTATCAATGTTACTATTCTAGTTGATTCTGATCAAAAGAGGGAGCCATGGAATGGAAAAAAGTTGGAGTCTCTCATGTTAAGGCACTAACATGGAGTGGGGCAGGCACAGAAAGGAGTAGAACAAATTCCTCCTTCAGGAGAGCTCTTGAACTCATTAAGTACCTGAAACGTGTCTGCAAGTCTTCTCAAGGACACTAAGATGATCTCGATGGAGACCTCATTCTCAAGGACGATAAGAATATCAGGACAGAGATCTCATTCCTATCAGAGTCATCTCCCATATTCCTAAGTTTAATGGCTTGTTTAAAGGGACCTGCACCCTCATGATTATCTAGTGCCTGCAACTTGTTAAAGGACATTCCTTCCCTTTTCTCTTCTTTGCCCTTATTAGCCACGACTATAAAGCCTTATCTTCTCCCTTTCAATGGTGCAAAGCACAGTTCAAGGGCTACTTGAATTTGTGTTTTCCCCGTGCTGCAGTTCTAACAAACCTCAAATAAACGTCTTTTTAAGTCTATCAGAATCTACCTCATAATCGGTGGATAGGGTGAATCTCGGACGAGACCAAAAACTCACATGGAACCGGCCTTTCCGTGGGGGTGGGGAATCGTGACCTGGATTTGGCTCAGTCACTAACCGGCTTTGCTAAGGTTGTAGTAATCAAGCAAAACGTTAAGTTCCACTCGGAAATTCTGTGCAATGTCCTTGTAGTTCCGCGTCTCTTCTTCCCAATACTGCGGCCCCTCCTGCTCCATCCACGGCGCCCGCGGCTCCATCCTCGGACTCGCGGCGTCGCTGTCGAACCGCACGAACTGCGTGTCGTCCACGTAGCCGACGGCGATGAAGCGGGGCTCCCCGCGGCCGGGCCGGGACACGGCGGTTTTGAAATACCTCAGGGAGTGGGAGCCTGGGGGCGGGGAGGGGCTGAGACCCGGCCGACCCTCCTTCCTGACGAGGGTCCTCGGGTTCGAGGATGATGTGGCTGGGAGGGGGGCGGGGGGTAGGGGCTCGGGAGAGGGAAAAGCGGAGACGGGCGGGGACTTACAGGCGGGAAGAGGAAGGGGTGGGTAAAGGGAGAGGTCAGGACGGGGCAGGACCGAGATGGGAGGCTCTGGGCTAGTGTCAGCGAAGACGCGCCTTCCCCGAGTGTCCTGCGTCCCCCCGCGCGGTCCCCTCGCTCCGCCCCCCGCAGACGCCGCCTCCTCCCGACCCAGCGCTCACCAGCCCAGGTCTCGGTCAGGGTCAGGGCCCCCGAGAGCAGCAGGAGGAAGGTTCCAGGCGCCGTGACTCTCATTCTCAGGGTCTACAGAGAATCTGAGTTCTGGACGGTGGTGGAGACTTTGCAACTGGGAGCAGTGGAGACTCTGATTGGCTTCTCTAGAAACCGCACACGCAATAGGAGTGGGAACTGAGGCCGCGTCATGAGTCTTCAGGCAGGAGGGGCTGACACAGGTTGTGAGAGGGGGAAGTGAAGCTCAGGGAGACGGGGACTCCCCAACACTGAGCTTTCCTGCCCCAGACGCTGCCCTCGGACCTGAGACCCTGAGAGCCACGTCCGGGGACCTGGGACTTTGCCCTGACCCCTCTCCTCCTGCCCCGAGAGCTCTTTGTCACACCGTCTCCCTGAGTCCTGGCCCAGGGGCTGTCTGAGGAAACCAGGGAGAGACCCCCAGGCTGGGCTCAGCCCCTTTTCCTCCTCTTACTGGAATCCCTCTCCCTGAAATGGCCTCCCTGCCTCTGAAGAGCAGGAATCTAATATGTAAAAGAAGTGATTTTAGCCCCTCCCTACAGAAACGTGTCTACACAGCACTGCACTCAGACTCGCAAAGCTCCTAAACTTTACTTTTCCAGACAGTACATCTGTGACTCCAGTTGTGTTTTAAAATTCTGTTCATTCTATAGCCCTGAGTTTGTCTGTGTGAGTCCCCACAGATCCTCAGGACAAAGAAGCGCCTGAAGGCACAATGTGTTTCTGTATATTTCAACCAGGAGCACGGTACAAACTTGAATCAACTCAGTGTTGAAGGTGTTCGAGGCAGTCGAAATGCGCTTCACCAGTGCCCCCTGAATTGCCTATTTTTATGAGTTATTCACGTTAAGCAGTGTGCATATTTTATTAGGACATTTATTATTTCTTAAGCTGATTAACAAAAGGAGGCAATTAGTTTTTAGGCAGCTCCAAAGAATGTATTAAATACCAAGAATACTCTACTAGGTCTGTAGATATATTTATTAAAGATCAATAAAACAGTATGTATGTTTAGATCTGAGAATTCCACTGCTTTAGAATTCTTTACCTGTTTCTGTTCCCCACCCCTGCTCCTCCAGCCCTTCTCTCTGTCCTCTCACCCCTCATGCCCTCTTCTCCCCTTAGTCTGCAACACCCTGTCACTCCTGAATTGTGGCACCAGCGCCACCTCCTCACCTGCCACCTGTGCACTGTTCTCCCCACAGAGGACAGCAATCCAGCTAATGTGAGTTACGATGTGTCATTTCTTTACTAGAATGCTCTAGTGTCTCCATCTCATTTTTGGGAAGCCTCTAGAATGCAATGCACATGAGCACAGTTTTGGCTTAGGACTTTGGGCCATTTGGGTCAAAGTTGTATCTCCAGCACATAAAGCCATTCCTGGTACATACTAAGCACTAAATTAGTTGTTGTTGAATGAATGAATGAAATATGATTGTATTAAAATGTAATTGCGCTACATAAAAATCATAACATGAAAAACGCAAAAAAGAAAACATTGTATTTCATGCAACTAGTGTGCATATAAGTTCATAAATTCATTCTAGTGGAAAAAAATGCTATGTGCTTATCTGCTGCACAATGAGCCCTGTGTATTAGTTTCTGTTACTGCGTAACAAATTACCAGGACTTAGTGGCTCAAAAAACACCCATTTATTTACTTATAGTTCCTTAGTCAGAAATCCAGGCGTGGTGTAGATGGGTTCTCTGTTCAGGGTCTCACAAAGCTTGGTTCTCTTCCTGAGCTCAGGATCTTCCTCTAAGCTTACACAGAGGTTGTCAGCAGAATTCGCTTTTTTCGTGTTGTAGAACTGAGGGCCTTCTTTCCTTGACAACTGTCAGCAAGGAGCCAGAGCAGGGCTGCTCCCAACACCTAGTTGTCACCAGCATTCTTTGCCATGTGGCCTCCATTTTCAAAGCCCATAATGGAGAAATTCCCTCACGTTGAGCCCCTCTCATGCTTTGAATCTCTTTGCTCAGGAAGAACCCAGTCCTTTTTTAAAAAAATTTTTATTTATTTATTTATTTATTTTTTTAAGATTTTATTTTTTTCCTTTTTCTCCCCAAAGCCCTCTGGCACATAGTTGTATACTCTCCGCTGTGGGTCCCTTCAATTGTGGCATGTGGGACGCTGCCCCAGCATGGCTTGATGAGCAGTGCCATGTCCGCGCCCAGGATCCGAACCAACGAAACACTGGGCTGCCTGCAGCGGAGCACGCGAACTTAACCACTCAGCCATGGGGCCAGCCCCAGAACCCAGTCCTTTTAAGGGCTCACCTGTTTAGGACAGTCCCACCTAGGAGAATCCTTCTGTCTTAAGGTCAACTGATTTGAGACCTTAGTTACATCTGCCAAATCCCTTCATAGCAGCAGCTACATTAATGTTTGAATAACTGGGGAGAAGGTGAGTAAGTAGGGGCTAGTCATTGTGGACCATGATAGAATCAGCCTAGCACGGCCTAGTTCTTCCTTTCATGTTTAGTTGGGTCACAGTTGGAAATTGAAGTTCTAGTAAATAGATCATTGTGAATGGTAATAAAACGCATCCTGTCTATTGGCCATGGAAATGCTTCTTATATCTTAAAACCAAATGACATGTTTAATATTGCATAATCAATTTAGAGGAAATAAAGATTAAAGTGCAATAATTCACTCTCTTTTGGACGCTGTATTAGTTACGTACTGCAGCATAACAAATTACCCAACACCTAGAAGCTCAAAACAGCAAATCGGTATTATCTCCTGCAGTTTCCCAGGGTCAGCAATCCAGGAGAGGTTTACCTGAGTGCTCCTGGCTCAGGGCCTCTCTCCAGGTTGCAGTCAAGTGTCTGCCAGGGCTGCATTATCTGATGGTTTGACTGGTGTTGGATTTGGAGGAAGCATGGCTCACTTATATGGCTGTTGGAAGAGGTCTCAGTTCCTTCCTGGATGGTACTAGGAGGCCTCAGTTCCTAGACGTGGGCTTTTCCATAAGGCAGCCAATGACAGCAGCTGGCTTCTCCCAAAGCCAGTGATCTGAAAGAGAGAGAGAGCAATCAAGATGGAAGCTGCAGTGTGTTTTATGTCCTGGACCCAGAGTCTCACACCATTCCATCAGCCTTACTCTGTCAGTTAGCAGTGAGTCATTAAGTGCAGCTCACACTCAAGAGGAGAGAATTAAGCTCCACCTCTGGAAGGGAAGAGTATCAAAGAATTTATGTACATGTTAAAACCAAAATTTAAATTAGATATTGTTGCAGGATTTTGTAAATCAATGCTTCTTTTATCTAATTAATTTTCTTTAGTGCTTTTCATTTCTCTTTTGTAAAGTAATGATTAAAAGTTTGAGACAGAAAAGGAGATACAACAATATTTGTAAGGTTTTTTTGCAATTACCTTTAATAATAGTGTTCCCTTCAGTAAGTTGCAACAAACTTGAGAACACGTAGTAAGTGAATCCAATAGTTCCAAGAAGTGGGTGCCATAACAATAATGCCTTTAAAATAAATAATAACTGTCTTTGTTTTTCCTTAGAAGTTTCACATTTGGGTTGTTAAGAATGTCAAAAATATTGGCTAATATACCAATTTTCTTACTGAAAATCATCTTCAAAAATAGTTGCCTGATGAAATTGCTTTGCAGTTAGAATAATATGAATCTCATACCTCAGTCTGTACACCTAGCTTAGCATCATGATAACAATTTTAGTGGGATGCAGTAGGCAGAATTGGTTAACTCCAATCTAGGAACAAAGTTTTCTAAAAAACTAGCTATTCAGTTGGCATCCAATAATGAATTTAACATCTTTCCTTTTGTTTTGGAATGAGATTTGATGGAAGTGATTTGGACACCAACGTGATTCTAAAAAGCACTGTTACTATGTGCCACTAAAGTTTTTTTATAAAGCAGCTGTATTGTGTTTTCCATTCACACTTTCTATTCTGTCACTGGTTATCCCTTTCTAAGGTTTTCCAGTTTAGTTTACATTGATCAACAATGTGCTTTTCCATTTTTATGGAAGTATTTAATTCAGTTCCATATGAGATCAAATGCAACTAACACATCAGATCCTTCACAATATAGAATTGCCTTGCTCATCAGATTGAACACGGTATACCAGAAAATCCTAGAGTGCCAGTGAGTAAAATATCACATGAGCTATTTCTAGCCAATGCTATGTTTTATGGCATCCTGGCCCTCTCTCTCACATGGTTCATAACATTGGCTGTGGCTTTGTTCCAAGGTGGGCAGTTCTTGCTAAGGATCCTTGCAATGAACTTTGGTATTTTCTTTCCTCTTTCATTTTTAAAAAATTGATCAGAAGTGGTTCATAAGCTGCAATTCGAAAAATGTCAGCTTATCAAGTAAATACTCAGGCACCCACCAGTGGTGTAAGAAACAGAAGCTATGAAGCCACCATGGGTGTCTCCCCAATCCCATCCCCCAGATATAACCTCTGTCCTGATCTTGTGTTTACTATTCCCTTGAGTTTCTCTAAAGATTTTACAGTAAATGTTTATATCCCCAAATCAAATATTATTTAGTTTTGCCTGTTTTTGAACTTCCTGTACAGTGAACTAGTACTGCATGGATTCCTCTGTGACTCAGCTTTACATAGGACAGTTATCCCTCATGGGTGAGGCTGTCGTTCATCCACTTTTGCTGCTTAAGTTTTACATTTTATGATTATACCACAGTTTTTCTATTTTCCTTTTGCTACATATGTAGTTATTCCAGTTTTTGCTGTAAACACTAGTGTGCATGTCTTTTGTGGCAAATAGGCAAGAAATTCCTCAGAGTGTGTGATCAGACGGAGGATCGCTAGATTGTATGGATTGTATGGGGAGTGTACTTTAACCATTCTAGATCTTGCTGATTTGGTTTTCAAAGCGCTTGTACCGATTTAAACTTCTACCAAGAATGTGTAAGAGTTCATGTTGCTGATGTGATTGTTCTGTAATAAAAAGCTCAGCTGAAGGGGAGGAATGAATTGAAAGCCACTGCCTTGGCTGCAGAATCACCCAGGCATTTTCTTTTTAGATTCTATTAATAACTTTATTTACTTTTATTCCATGTATGTTGGCATTGTACTTTTAGCATATACGGCCCGATAATGCTTCCTTTCAGCATAACCACATAGTGTCATTTC